AAAAAAACTGCTAGACAAATATCCAAAGATTAAGGAAATCGGTTACCTTGTTCGGTACGCGTAGCAGGTTTCCAGTTGTTAGGGTCCACGATAGGAAGGCAAACCTGTAAATACGGATATTGACCAGAAAAGTGAACTGGTTCTAAACACGGCATGAATCACCTTCTACAACCATATGATTGTTCAAACTACTAGAAAAAGATAGGAAAACCCACTTGTCCTTTGTCATCAATATTTGGATGGTATATCTTCGTTGCAAGAGTGATTTTTGGTGGTTTAAAAGGATAGTCGGCAGGAAAATCAATATTTACTTTGAAGGCGCCTTTGTTGTATGGTTCTTTATCCTAAAGATGAGCAAAATATAAACTAAAAGATGATCAAAGCGTCAACAGATGGAAAATCACAACTGATAGGTACACAATAACATACAGGGACCAAAAGCACAGTCCAGTGGAGAAGATTTGACTCGTCATATTCAACGCTTTCATAAGCCTTCACTCCACACGACTTCAGATCCGAAAGTTCCTGAATATCAGATTATCTTGCTCAAGAACTTATTATTACAAAATAATTCAAAAAGGAAAACTGATTGCTGTTTGATACATTTAGGCTTGAAAGTCAAACTGACCTTCTGAAGTCGCCTAGACGAAGCCATTCTGAATACCACACCTACCTAAACAATAAGTGATAATGAATGATGAGAGGGAAGATGAGAACCATATCAAACAATAAAACATCATGAACAAGTTGCTACACCTCAAGCCAAGAACCATGCATAAAATGCTTCGCCAAGGATAAGGACTCACAACCTAAGAAAAATGAAGGGAACTTGTTAAAGGAAGCATGATGACCAAACGAACGGGAATTGACGAACAGCAGAATGACAGCTGACATGCCGTCAGGTTAAATGCCAGTTCCATGCACCTACGCATTTCTACGGCCCAAATTTGAATTCGAAACACGCGGCAATATTTTATCACAAGGGAAATTGAGTTCCTCTATTTTTTCACTCATTTTTTTGTGGTCCATGGTTCTGCGTCAGATTCATGGTCCTTCTCCGAATTGAGGGGTTTTTGGGTTGTCCTTCCCTATGTTGAAAACACATAGAGGATTGGCAGCTTTGCAGAAGAGGTCGCGTTTTCAGCAGCTTCTACGACCTCTATAACAATAACATCATTTTTCGCGTAGGTTCCCAATAAGGGTGCAAAAGAGCACGTCTTTTCAAAAAAATTAGGTGAAAGATTATGGCCTGGAAATAACCGGAGGTTCTCAGGAAACGAACTTAATTTAGCTAGCTTGCTTCGGTCCACAATAACATTTCCGTTTTGTCCATAAGGAAAAACTGTTTTG